ACTTTACTAAGAAAAATATTTTCCAGCTCCATCCATGTAAACATAAAAGAGGTAAAGTCTTCATTTTTTAATGCTGCATAGTATTCCATGATATACATATACCACAATTTATTAATCCATTCGTGGGTCGATGGGCACTTGGGCTTCTTCCATGACTTGGCAATAATGAACTGAGCTGCAATGAACAATCTGGTGCAAATAACTTTATTGTGCAGGGGAAACACTTGATAAAATTGGCCTCTTAATGAGGAGGACACCCCAGGCAATTGAAGCAACATCAAAAATACATTACTGAGATCTGATCAAATTAAAAATCTTCTTGCCAAGAACACATTAAGTAAAGCAAATAGACAGCCCTCAGAATGGGGAGAGGATTTTTGCAAGTTATGTATTCAACAAAGGTCTATGCCTATTTTCTTAAGTGTTTTTGTCAGAAAGGGATGCTGAATTTTGTCAAATGTTTTTTCTGCATCTATTGAGAGAATCACATGGTCATTGTTTTGCTTCTATTTATATGGTAAATTACATTTATGGATTTACATATGCTAAATCAACCCTACATCCCTTGGAATAAAGCCCACCTGATTATGATGTATAATTGTTTTAATCTGTAACTGTGTTCTGTTTGCTAGGATTTTATTGAATGTTTTGTTGTCAGTATTCATTAATGATATTGGTCTGTAGTTTCCTTTTTTTTCGGTTGGGTCCTTTCCTGGTTTTGATATCAGGGTGATGTTTGCTTTGTAGAATGTGTTGGGAGAATTCCTTCCTTCTCTATGTTTTAGAATAGGTTCTGCAATATAGGTATGAGCTCCTCTTAGAAGATTTGGTAGAATTCTGGTGTAAAACCATCTGGTCCAGGACTTTTCTTTTTTGGAAGATTTATTATTTGTTATTTTTGTTGCAATTTTGGTGCTTGATATCGGTCTATTCGAAATTTCTAGTTCTTTATGGTTGAGTTTAGGATAGTAGTGTGATCACAGGTATTGGTCCATTTCCTCCATATTTTCAAATTTCTGAGCATAGAGTTTTTTGTAGGAGTCAATGATTATCTTTTGTATCTTTGTGGTATCTGCTGTTATTTTCCCTTTTTCATTTCTGACTGAAGTTATTAGAGATCTTATTTTTCTATTTCTAGTTAATCTGGACAAAGGTGTACTGATTTTATTAATCTTTTCAAAGAATCAACTTTTTGTTTCACTGATCTTCTGAATGGTTCTTATGTTGTCAATTTCATTTACTTCTGATCTACTTTTAGTTATTTCTTTTCTTCTGCTAGGTTTGGGATTGGATTGCTTTTCCTTTTCCAGTTTCTTAAGATGTTTCATTAGATTGCTGATTTGGGCACTTTCTGGTTTTTGAATGTAGGCATTTAATTCAA